GAAATGAAAATAGAATGTAACATAGCTGTGCTCATGACTTGTTCATCTTTCTTCTGGAGACCATGGTAAACTAAATGGAGTGATCAACTGAAGGAGGCAAAACTTTTCAACTGCATTACTATTTTTCTTCTGAAGAATGATTTAAGGAACAAACCTGAGAAATATGTTTCACATCTTTTTCTTTCTTCCTCCCTCCCACACACATGTTCACGCAGAGACTCGCCACAATCTGTACTTCTCTAATACATTCCAGTATGCTGAAATAGAGAAATGAAATGTTAATTTTGAAGCAGTGTTTGTTTCTTGTCTTAGCAACTTGTACAGCAGCCTTCCTGCTATGCACTGATCTGTTTATATTATTTTATAGATATACCACACCTCTTCATACTTTCTCATCTTTTAAAAATACAAGGATTTTGGGCAGGATCTAAATCTTTATGCAGAGATTTTTTTTTGTTTTTCAAATTTTATCCTAATTCAGAAATAGCTTATATTCTGTTATTTTTTAGCAGAAATACTGCCAATGGCTGATGTCTTTTCCTGACAGTTTCAGAGTCAGTTTCAGGCACTCAGTCTGTCTTGAATCGCATCATTACACAGCACTTCAGATAAATGAACACAGTGTGTGCTGCAGTATGTGATTTCTATAGTCAAACTTCAACATAAATAAAATTTCAGTTTCACAATAGTATCTGTTTCTCAAGATTCTTGAAGTTAGATTTGCCAGCTTTTTATGAAAAAAAATAAATTATAAGCTGTGATGCTATATAGGAAAAGGATTGCACAAAGAAAACAATAGCATAAACCCTGAGAAATAAAATTGTCCTGCATGTAGATTTTTTTGTAGTAATGACATCAGATAAAACCTAGATGAAGTCATGGGGATGGATCTGTTAAAATACAGCTTAATAAGATTGAAATATCAGGGATGTAAAGCAAGCACTGTTGTTTTTATGAAGTCAGTGATTCAGATTTTGTTTTGATTTCTCCGTTAGAACTAGGACTTCCCTTACTTCTAATCTGAAATATTACTATGGTAGAAATTTCACTGAATCAAAGAATCATGAAATACCCATTTCTGAGCCATGTTATGATAATAATAGTAATTATAAAAATAATAATAATAAGAGATGTGTTGTTATGTAGGAGTCTGCTTTCTATTCAGGCACTTATTTTTTTGTTGAAATGCAAGACAGCTTATGACTTTTTAATGAGATCCTTGAAATTATTTTTTATTAATTAATTAAAGGAAAACTGGATTCAACTGGATTTCTTTGGGTTAAACAGTTGATTAACTTAATTTTGCGCAGCCAATAATTATCTGTATGTATATCTGTTAAGGAAGGGCAGTGGAGGTGTTTTGAGTATGTTAATGAAGTGGTTAAGTGTTTATGGGAGTTGAATATCTGCTTCATGTTCTGCTAGTTGTAGCACAAGACCAATTTGATTTACAAGCCCTAGTTACTCCTAGTACTACTACTGCTGCATGCAGTACCAATGTTAAGAATGCTTAGTGTTTTGCATTATAAATTTTCAATGATACATGCACATCTCAGTTACATAAGGTTTTTCCAGAAAGGAAGAAATGTGTTGATTACAAGAAGAATTAGCAAGAGTCTGTAGCCTCCAAAAGTTCAGGATTGGAGACACTAAATGGCTTGATAGTGGGATTATTTTTTTTTCTTTTTTTTACTTTTACTTTGATTATCTCATCTACCTCATCATATTTTATCAAACTCTGTAGTCTTTTTTAATCCTCAGTAAATTTCAATGGGTATATTACCCAAAGATGAATGCTAGCAAGTTGTGTATTTTATTTCAAGCATGTAATAGTCCAATAGAATCTAGAGAACTGCAGAGAAAAGCAGAGTGTTTTAGGTGCTTGTAATTCTTGTAAACCTTTCTGTATGCATTTCTAAACTCCCCTGGATTGTCCATTATTTTGGGAAAATTAACTGAACTTTTGAGCTTAAGCAATCAGTCCTACTGTCTACCTGGTTCATGCAAGATGACTCAGTCTTCCTTAATCATACTGATAGGGTGGTTCATTGGGAAAAAAAAACAAACAAACTGGAAAAATAAGCAACCATCCAAAAAAAAAACAAAACAAACAAAAAAAAAACAACACAACCCTAAAACCAAGATAGTAATTAAAATTCAGTTCTGTCAGTAGCTGAGAAGGAACTGACTCTCCATTCATACAAATGAGGAAAAGTTCTGAACATGAATACTAATCACTGGGAAGGCTAACTGTGTATGCAGGACAGTTAGTCATGTGAACGCAACACTTTGCACACTCTGTGGAACAGGGTGGATCCACTTCAATTGCTTCCCACTTCTTAATTCAAGAATATTGGGCATTGCTAACAGGGGTGCATTTAAACTCGAGAGGGATGTCATCTGCATGCATGTTTTGCCGTTGAGAAGTTTGCAGACATTAAAAGTATGAAAATGGACAGGCAAAACTATTTTATCTTGACAGTGTTTTCATCCACAAGTGAAATCTGGATTTGTTGAGTGAAAATAAAAATTTGCTTGAATAGGTATGCTTAGGGCGGTTTTTATTTCCAGGGAAAACATTTAGCATAAAGAGAAATTTCATTGCAGTGACAAAAATAATGTTATGCATACCATGTGGTGGGCAGTACAAGCAGTAGACAAAATTCCCTCTCCATCTCTCAATAAATTTCATAATAGTCACAAGAACCCTAAAAGGAAGTGGATGTCCCCTTGTTTGGAGCTTTCCAAAAGAGTTGGGTCTCTTTTATGTTTAGCAAATTATTTTTTAAAATGAATTCTCATCAAGTTTCTAACTATAATATCTTTAAATTTGATGTTTGTCTTTCTAATGAAAGACAAACATTTTGGGGGCAGTCAGAAGGGACATGAATAATTTCTTTAGAACCTTATCTAATTAATTACATTTCTCTGTAATGTCTTTAAAATTTGAACTGCCATCATTTCATTAATTTAGATAAAAGTAAATCTTTAGTGTTTAAATGTGACACTAGTGCTGAGAATTCTGATAAGCTCAAGATTAATTGTCTTTATTTTTATCAAGATAAAAAAAAGTTTAAAATGTTTGGGATTCATCACTTGCATGTTAGCTTTTAAAGTCATTTATTTATATGTATTTATATATTTTATATAGAGATATATATTTAAAATGCATTATTATTCCATGGCATTAAGGTGTACTCACCTGTTAATAAGTAAGATCAGAAGACAAAAAATGGACGTAAACATTACTCTTGCAATATTGTTGTGGGGATTTCTTATTCTTCTGGAACATGTTTCTGAACTAAAACTTTTGACTTCAAATGGGAAGCATTTGGAGTCACATGTCTCGTAATCTTACATGTCCTATACAGGTGTTATTTTAATATTTCAGGTTATGCAGCAAACATAAAGCCTTTGTTTATAGCACTAGTAGATTTGGTGATAGCTTAGCTTTGTGTCTTTCAAAATAGTTATTTTTATACTGTTTCAAATTAATGTTAGTAGAGCAATTGAAATGTGCACATTTAGGTATACAGGTTGAGCCTCAAAAATTATGTCTGTCTTTAGGATACAAGTTTAAAAAAGGATGCAAGAGGTAGGATTTGATTAGGTCACAATAAAGTTAACCTTGATGGATGCCACGAACAATACCGTGTATATGGTAATTCTTAGTTATCTCTACCAGTTGTAGGACTGCCACCAGTTGCTACCTGCCTGCTGGTGGAGCCTCACCTGCTTCTACTTTGTAGACATTTATTATGAGGGGTCATTTAATCCCAGGCAATAGGAGCTTCTGTCCTACCCTTCCCTCAGCCAGTTCTGTATTGTCAGAGAACAGAATCCCCAAGTACTGATGAAAGCTTTGGACAGCTGCTAAGCTGTCACAAAACCAGTAAGTTGATATTCTTACTTATGGTAGTAACTTTCTTGCCTGCAGTAATAATTTAGGCAAAAGAACACAGTTCCATTAAAAGTCAGACTCAGGGTTTGAGTCACACTGTGTGCAGTTCTTCAAATTGTTGATAATATAAGCAAGATAAAATACTCTGGTTGTAAAGTAATACTAAGAGAGGGTATTTAAAACTAGTATTGAATTACTTGTAGAAGTATACATGTGCTATAGAAGGGGTTTTTAACCCCTTCAGGTCAATTGATTACCTCAGTTTAAACTGCATTCATGGTTTTGCTCTTTGGGGAAAAATAATCTAAAATATTTAGAAATAGCCTCTTAAATTATCTATACTGAACTTAAGAAAAGATACAAGGGACTGACTGTGAAATCTGTGCAAAGTAGAATGCAGCTGTTGGTTTAGTATTTCTTGATTAACAGCTTATTCTAATCTTCACAGTGAGAAACACTTCTATGCAAAACACTTCTATAGCAAAATATTTAAAAAAAAAAACAAAATGTAATTATATATTATTTCAATGAAGAAAGAAGTTCACAGGTCACATTTTTGGTCAGTGGTAGATGAATCAAAGCGCTTTAATAGTCTGAAGTGCTATCTAGTTTTGCCTATGTCAATCTACAGTCTATCTTGCTCACAGTGTGGGCCTCCACATTAATCGTATTTGTAATGAAGAAATAATAGATGTGCAGTCAGAACAATTAATAGAGTAAAATGCTCTGTGCTCTGCCAAAGATAAACAAAGAAATAAATCTATGTTGTTTACAGCTTTCCCTTTTCCATGTGTAATGGACTTTATCAATAAAACAATGCAAACTTCATCAAAGAAAAATATCACCAATTTAGTCTAAGAAAGATCATTGAGCTAATCTCCAACAAACGCTGTTTGCAATAGGGATTTATTTATTCTTTTCAAGTGTAAAATACTGGCCATCCTTCTTTATCTCATGCTCCAACTCCATGATCCATTACAGATAAGACAATCCAATTAAGCAAGAAAGAAGACAGGAAGATTATGATTATTCTGTAGGCATTTGTGTATCAGTCCCAACATATATGCTTACCTTTTTTTACTTTGATTTGCTCTCTAAGGAAACCACAGTCAAGTGTCCCGGGTGCCTGTTGCTATCAAAGTTCTTGATGTAAACGACAATGCTCCTGAGTTTGCATCAGAGCACGAAGCCTTTTTATGTGAGAATGGGAAGCCTGGACAAGTAAGTGTCTCCATGTTCTTATGTTGGTACGTTGATGTATGAGAAGGGAGTGCAGTTTCTCCCTGTCATCTCATCTTTATTGCCAACATGTATGCCTAAGTGTTCATGGTAACAGCTCTTAACATTCATTTAAGATAAACCTATGATCATATTCTGTGGCACATATGTCTCTATATGGATTTACTTATTTTTTTAAAGTATAGGTGGGTAAATTAAAGGTGGGTACACTAGGAAAATATACAGAAAAACTTGAGCGTCTTTAAGCTCCCATTCTTTCTACTCTGCTTGATAGGGCTCATTGCTTCATAGGTTCAGCGTTTTTAATAAGTAAACGTATAATCCAACCTAAATTCCGGTTTAGTTATTGAACTATATTGCAGCTGGTCCCAGGTATGATTTAGAATAAGCACTTAAAACAATAAAACCATTTCTCCTTACCCATATGTCAGTTGTAATCTCTAGTTAGTTCTTACTTTTCAATGACAACTAGGAAAAAAAAAACCCAAGAAAGCAACCCAGAACTTGATGGAAAGTCAAGTAAATTGTAACTGAGTTCAAAGTATCTAAAGAGGGATGGGGTCTTAGAGAAATGGAGTTCAAGTTTTCATTGTATTTAACAAAAAGAAAAAAAAAAAGTACTGAAGAGGTTATTTCCTTCTTGATTTAGTGAAATAAAAGGGTTGGCAAAAGAGTTTACACAGCACTTAACAAGGTGAAATAAACATAGCAAGATATCAGAAGCAAGATTTAACCTGTATAGCCTTTTCCAAAGAAAATGAAACAGATTTCATAAAGGGCACCTATTTTGAAGGACAAATGTACAGAAATAAGGAAAAATACCTCACATGCCACGTAACTGACAAGATAAAGATTCAAGAAAATGTACAGACTTTTAGAAAGTGTAAATGAGATTTAACTGTTGTCCAGCTTGAGAAACATTTTGTGTTGCAACAACTCACTGTTATTAGACTTTCTAATTTATTTCTAGATTGTGACATTTTATTTAAATAAACAGCAGTTGACAGCATGACACTAGACTTGTTACTTCGACTATTCCTGTGTCTCATGTGGGTGGTAGGCATTAAATTCACTATTCTCCAAAGAAGGTTACCTGACAATAGAGTTAGAAGTTATTTTCTTTTAGTAGTATTAAATGACAACCAATATAGCAGTATATGACAACCCACCTCTGCCAAGACCGGATTGTTGCAAAAGATGATTTCACTTCTAGCACCCCTTTTTTGTATATTAAAAAAAGTGTCAAAAATCTGTCATTTAAGAAATGAGAATTCTTTTCAACCACTGAAAAGCAGATTATTGAAATATGCCCTTATAGGCAGACAGTTATGCTACTGTTGGTATTTAAGTTTTTCTAGCTCAGAGTGGGTATCTGTTTAGCTCAGGGTGGAAATGTAACTACTCAGCATTTCACTGAGTAGTTACAGTTTCTAGGATATATTAATTTCTAATGACTGTACCTTTATCCAGGATTCAGTAAGTTTCCCTGAAGTCAGAAAGCTGTTACACAGTGTTTTCTGAATACATTTATCTAGATATTCATATCAAACTTCAGCTGGTTTAAGAGATGCTGAAAATCATTCACATTTCATTTTGGAATAAAATAATAAATGAGATGATTAAGAGTCAGCTGATAAAAGAGGGTTTTGTTTAAGCACTTTTGTAAAATTTATATTAAACCATTATGTTCTTCATTTTATCATCACCTCCTAAACTCTTGATCTGATGGCAGATGTCATTCTTGAGCATGAATCCCTGTGTGAACTTTACAGATGGTTATTAAATATTTGGTTGTCAGCATGAATGAGGTGCAACTGATCCTGCAATTTATTCTGTGTTTTAAACAAATAGCATTACTGGAACCACTTAAGTAAAAAAAAAAGTTACTATTGAGTAAGCACTTGATAATAATCGCCAAGGTTACGTTCTAAATTTAAGTCATCATTCAAAAATTATCTGCTTCTGTAAAGATTTTGATATCTACCAGAATCAGTTGTTCTTTCTTATGCTTATTATTTGAAATTTTTTAATAAATCATATTAATAAGACAGGATTTAGAATTCAAAATATTAAACATGACTCAGCTATGAAATAGCCAGTGTGAGAAAGAGGCTACTCTTTTTCATAGCAGCAAAAGCCTCTTTCTCCAAAGTTTAAACTTGAATGTTACATGTGCAGGAAAGGCACTATTGTATTGGGGCATTCCAGTCTATTTACATTTGCAGTTCAACTTAGATTTAAGTTTAAATCAAATTTGTATTTCTGTAAGGGAGATCACATTTGAACCTTTCAGAAAACCTTATTTGTAGCCCCTAAATATATTGAGCCATCTATCCCAGTTTACTTCTTAAGTGTTCTATTTTGGGTTGTGGTATAATTGCAAGTGGCAATTGCAGCTGCTGGTGATGTGACAGAATGTATCAAAAACTGTTGATGTATAACATCAACAGATGCATTTTTTTGCTTTAATCTACCTCCAACATTAGAGGTACAACAGCTAGTAGGAGAGGAAAGGGAGAGGATTAGCAAAAATATTTGTCCATGCAGATATTTATGCGCAACTTTCACATTTTTTACACACAACAGAAAGTTGCCCGAAATGGGGGGCTTTGTCAGTTTTAGGAAATAAAAAAAGTACTGTACTGTTGCAGTATCTTTAAGGTAAACATAAACTAGCTCATGCCTTCCCCTTTTTCTTTTTCTTTTTTTTTTTTTTTTTTTGCATAATTCCACTTGCTAAAGCCAGAGCAATCGTGGGTTTGTTGGCTATAGCTCTACAGTTCGTTGTTCTCCAGCCCAGCTAAATTATTTTCCTACGGTCCTAGAACAGAACATCTGTACTATTAAGAAAACTGCTTCACTCATTGTTCCTCAGTCCACACCCAGACTTTTCCAGCAAAGTGCTTTTTGCTTGAAACAAGGCTACAAAACTTTCAAACACTTAAGTAGTGCAGACAGTGATGTATCGGTGCTCAAGCCAGTGTTTAAACTAGAGCAATATAAAACTAAGTACAGTGTTCCTCCAGTCTCTTGCAATTTGTCTCTATTTTATTCAGTTCTCTTAATAGAATTGGCTTTTTCTAATGGGAGAAATCTTCAGATAGATCTTTGTCTCTAAAGAGCCAAAGCTGATTCAGACTGCAAAGCGTAGGTTCTAGCATTAAAGGGCTGGCTATTGCTGAAAGGGAAAGTTAAAATTGTACTGCTGTGAGTACTTATGGTATTGTGAGTCTGAAATGTAATTCAGAAATAACCATAAAGACTAATGTGACTGCAACAGTTTTTCAGAGTTGAAAGAAAAGTTTGAAGTTGGGAACCGTTCCAAGTTAGCTTAACAAGTTGCATTGCAGTATCATGTATTAAAATCACACATAGATAATTATGATACATTGATAAAAACTTCAGGCTTATATTTATCCCTCTGCATCATTCATTATGATTATATTGGTAATATTCTATAAATATTATTTCAGGCATAGTTGCTTTGTAGAAATGTGAAGCAAGATGCAGACTATAATGCTGAGTTGTCCTCAGGGATCATTTAACTATCCATTTCAATCACAGCTGCCTGTTAAGCAAAATATGCTGATTTACTATGTTTCTACTAAATGTGTGTGCAGAATCAAATATGTGCATGAATTTTTAATACAACATCAAAGTTGAAATTTTACAAGGAAGAATTTCATAAATGTCAAGACTGAAGAGCCAAAGGGTTATTAACCTTCACTCTAGTGCTTATGGATACATTGTAAAAAAAATCAGGTTTTGATTTCTTTATGATTAGTATTGACTGATTTTGTTATGTGGAACACCGTTGTTACGCATGTTACTACAGGGAGAGAAAAAACTTGTTTAGTGATAGGTACAGCAGGACAGCCCTGGACGATTTTCTACCATGTTCTGAACCACAAATTAAGAGTTGGAGAATTACTTCAATAGTGTTCTACTGCAAGATCACACAACACTGAGCAATAAAGTACACTCATCAGCATACTAATAAAAATGTGGTAATGAGAATTACTGGACTTTTCTTACTGCTATGAAGTAAAATATACAGGAGCTCTGTATCACTGTATGTATGCTATGCCATTTTTATTTTTTTAAGAGCTTATTTTAATGCAAATACACAAAGAAATAAGGTTGCTATGGGAACACTAACTCTTAATTCCTTGATGTGTGCATGTAACTCAACAAATATAGTGTTCCACTAAGCCTGTCTTTTGCATATAATTTTCTGTGCATTTTAAGGCAAAGAAAGATTTAGTAAACAATGAAGGGAATGGATGAAAAGAACTAAAGTATAAGAAAGCATTCTGTAGGCCATTAAAAGGTATCTATAGTTGCTGGAGGGGGTAGAGGAAAGGACAAAACATACAGCCAGCTCTTATTTCTTGAAAGTTTGCAACCTAGGCAAAATTCTAAGCTTATTTCATAAAATTTCCATGAGCTGAAATCCCTGTTATTAATGCTTTGGCTACTGGCTTTCCTGATATTTTAATTGAAAACCTGAAGACAGTGAAATTTTTAAGTCAGCTCTCTTACATAATACTGGAAAGAATTAAGTTATGTAGCCAGTAGAGGTAAAATTGCATAACTATCTGATAAACTGCACCTATTACAGGTACTTGATATTCCAGACTCTACTGTGCCAGACTCTACTCCTTTTCCCCTATTGCTTTCTGATTCTAGCAGTGTTCAAAAAATGGAATACCCACACAATACATCTTCCTAAAGATGCTTTCCATTCTAATTTGCACTTACCCATTACACAGAATGACATATGTGGATAGTGTAGTGCCTTACATCTCTGCCAGGTATTTAAACAATCTAAAACTTTTCCTGTAGATCACTGATAATAAAACTGACCTATCCAGAATATGACTGGGCAGGGAAGTAATTGTTTGAAATTCCTTCCTAAGTTGTCTTACAAATTATGTGTGCGTATATCAATACCTGCTAAAATATCTTTACATATGCATATATACATGCATAATTTCAAATATTTATGTTTTGATGTTGCTACTCCTGGTTACCTGGACAGATTTTATTCTTCCCTTAACGCTTGCAGAATATAGAAGAAAGAATGGGATATTGATTATTATTGTACATGTAACACATGCAGGTTGATAGTCCTTTCTCTTGCAGTAAAACCAGTATAAAATACTAGTTATTAGCATTTTGCTAGTGAAGCACTGAAAATTTAAAGTAGAATTCTTAAGTATTTGGGCAGCATCAGACCCTGTTTCCACTTTTTACTCTGTACTTCAAAAATTAAACTTTCAGTGATTCATAATCTGAATTTAATTGTCCAAAATATTATGGGTCAGTTGCTTTAGGCATTACAAAAATAACTACATAAGATGCAAATGGCATTGAATTCAATGGACATGGGAAAAGTCAATAATTCTCATTAAATTTCTTATAAATCTCATCTTGCATGAGCTAACTGCCACTGGAATTCAGCTCAGTGCTGGATCTGGATTTATAGTTGGTTTTGTTCCTACTTCTATGGAAAATACTTGGAATCAAAAGTAACTGAGCCAAATATAAAAAAAAAAAAACAAAACAACAAAATTTGCTGATTATTTTAAAATCCTGTTTCTTCTTTTCATATTTCTGTGAAGCTTTGTATGATTTGAAGATGGTGAATTGCAGTTTCTTTCTGAGTAATGTTGGAGGTAAAAGAGATAAATGGAAGTAAAAACACCTACAGATACTGTAGTTGGTCAGGTAAATTATCTGGGGTGAAAGTTATTTATTCAAAATTATGCAGACTATTCAAGTACTCTGTGCTCTTCTAACCTTAATATCCTGCATTATTCTGGAAAACATTTGCTAATAATGGCATTTTAAAACAAAAGATGCTTTAGTACAGGAAGAAATTAGGTTTTATTAAAATTAAGGAAAAAAGTCCAAAATATACACTTGGATATATCCCTTCTTTTTCAGGTTAGATTGCTTAGCATATAAAATTTCACATTGAAAGTTCATTTAAAAATGTATATATTTATTCAATAAATTAAAAAAATGGTGACAGGGGAAAGGAGGAAGGGTTAAAGATAGATTGTACATTTTGGTCCTGTGAGAAGCATGGGTATATGAATGAAAGACTACCATAGGCATTGGGTTTCTGAAATTATTTTCTTCTTTATTGCTGAATAATTTAGTACTTGCCAAATCAGCATCAGTTTTTACTGGCCTCTCTCACATGCCTGTCTTTCCTTATTCTCTGCCTCCTTGTTCTGGAAACTGTTTAAATGGGCCAAATACAGTCCCTCTTTGCCAGACGTTCAGTTGAAGGCCTGTAAAAGTCTTGCAAGATTATAAATTAACATTGTTAATGTGGCACGTGGACAAATGAGAATGTGTCTGGAAGAATGGAATGTGTTTTTTTTCAATACTGTACATTTATGTGAATACTTAATGAGAGCATTTTCTGTTGAAGGTAATTCAGATTGTCAGTGCTGTTGACAAAGACGATCCTAAAAATGGGCATTATTTCCTGTACAGTCTGCTTCCTGAAATGGCCAACAATCCAAATTTCACCATCAAGAAAAATGAAGGTAAGTACAAAACATACATAATGTGTATCTGAACAACTTCATTTTGAATTGCTTTTTGACTTCCATTTACTTTACCAGTTTGTCCCTGGGCAATTGTAGATAATCTGTTTAATGGTACCTTCATTATATCTCCTAAGCTATTTCCAATATCTTTACAGTAGATAAGAAGAAAGTAAAATGAATACTGCATTTAGATCCAGAAGACAGCTTACTGGCTTAAATAAAATGAAAGCATAGATTTATTGCCTGTTTTATTTCTATTAACTTGAAATTCCAGAGATATGCTATTAAGTGAAAATCTGAAATTATGTTGATAAATAAATGTTGATCCTATGTTGACTGGATATAGATGGGAACATAAAATGAAGTATCTACTAAATCCCCCAAGGAAACACCATTTAAGCCTATTTGTTGTGTGTAAAAAGATTCCAAAGTATTTCAGTTAGGCACTTTTACTGGAAAGAGAAATATGGATCAGCAAAGCCCAGAAGGACACTGTGTCACTGTGCTTTCGGGAAGGGCAAAATGTCATTCTGTAGTACTGTAGAAGTGGAATTACATGTATGATGGAAAAAAATGACACATTTAACATTGTTGAGCGATAAATTTACAACGATCCTTTTGTTTGGCACGCATGTATTTGAAGGTCATGTGAGAAAAAGCAAGGAATGACTACAAGAATGCTATAAATAGTGATTTATGTATTTGTACTTGAATATTCGCAAAGCTTTTTCATCTTGGCTTCTTTTTCTTTTTTGTGTAACACTACCCTCTCAGGAATTTTTGTCAAATTCAGTCTCTTATTTCTCTTACTTGAAATTATGTTGAAGGCAATCCCTACTTAATCCATTACTAATAGGAAGATGTATCTGAGATGTATGTGCATGAGTGTAAAAGTAATGCATGAAATGTCAAATGAAAAGAAAATGCTGTTTTCATTTTTTATTCTAGCTGTTCCAACCAAGAAGAATGATGGCACCATTTTGTTAAATTATACCATAAAAACCTAAATTCTTAAATTAGCTTAAATAGATAATGAAAATTTCCTTTCATTAGATATGTTTTTCTCTTACAGCATTCACAAAGTGTGTCTCTACTTGTATTTATACTTTCATGTAGGAAATAAGTCTCTGCATGCTTTCTGCACTTACAGGAGAAGATATAACAAACCTCTCCAAAATGCGTTTGATAATCATCAGTAGTGTAAGACAAACTGAATTAAGCATCCTAAATGTGAGGTAGTTTGGGTTGTAAGGTACATACTTACATAACTAGTTAGACCTCTCCTTCCAATCTGTTACCCATTTGAGACCCAGTCGTCCTTCTAGTCACAGCTAATGGCATAATTACTGCTGATGTGAGTGGGAGTGAAGAAACTTTATATAAGCATGGTTTTGGAAAATTAGGTCCAGTTTTGTTACAACATTGCCACTTGGTTTTACAGCTTTTAATGCATTTGAATCAGTTAAATGTGTAAATCCTCCTAAAACAACCAATGGAAATCTCTTGAAATTCAAAACCCACTTTAAAAGACTTTCCTGATTTAATCTTTCAGTATCCAAGAATGAAATTCCAGCTATGTGTGCCATCTTTTTCTATCAGGATTGCTCAGCCAGGGATGCAGCCCATGGTTGGTGCTAGAACATGATCTCCCACAGGAAGCAAATACTCGTGTCAAAGCCAAAATCAGGGTATAATTTGGTTGAGGTGAGGTTTCATGCCATTTAAACATTATAAATCTTTAGTAAGTCTTTATTTACTTATGGCACTTAAAACAATGAACTTGACCATGACTTTGTCTGGCATGTGTCTGCTAGGTAAGCATGAGATTATTCTTGTTGAAAAATCTCCAATATGCCTAAAAAACAGAACCCAGAAGTCAAATTTCTCCTTAGTTGTACTGTGAGTGTCTGGGCAGTCCAAATGCTAGCTTGATATGATTATTAGAGGCAATATAAGAAATTTCCTGTAACAAACCCTACTCTCACTTCTGGAGAACTGTGTTGCTGAGGGTCAGATCAGTGCACAGCCCACTTAGGCTTGGAACAGGAAAACATTTCCTCATACTGGTGGGCAAAATCCTTGGCACTTTCATGACTGTGACCTCAGGCTCAACTTTCTCCCATATTCTTGGCCTTGTCAAATTCTTCAAGGCAGGAGGGACTGACTTGATGGCTGGTGAAGAAATGCTATCCTAACCACTTGTGGATATTATAAATGGATAGCATTTTCTCAGGAAACCTAATCTAACCCCCCCCCCCCTTTTTTTTTTTTTTTTTGGTTAGAATTAGTAATCTTTTTCTTTATTTAACTGATTCTTCATCTTGCGTTTCTCCAAAATTCCCTCAGGTGCAGAGATAAAAGTACCCCTCCTCAAGAGCTTCTGAAAAATGATACTAGCCTTTTGGAGTCTTCTTTTGTGATTTGGGTAACACTGTGGCATTTAGCAATTACTTCCTGCTTCCTGAAGTAATGACTTTATCTGTCACTACTGTGCAAACAATGCAGTTTGGCATCTGCCATGGGAAGAAAGCTATGGTGTTCTGCTTCTGTCCCTCATACTAAAAAAGTATATGATGCACATATTCTTGAATTTTCTCTTTCTGTATGGAACAAAAGCATAACCATTAATTATTTTTGTTTGTTGCCTGCAGGCTAATCCTATTGTTCAAACTTTCCAGATTACCCTAAAGCAAGTTCATATGATACTTCAGTAATTAGCTGTGCTGCCTGAATACACTACAAATGCTATGATAGGCTATGTTTTTATTGCCCAGTATGTTTAACTGAGTGGCGCAGCATGTATCTTCACCAGAAACCACAAAAATCCTCCACGTCTCCTAGGACTGTAGTATGTATTATAGAAATTACTGAATTTCTATATAACTATATATATATAATATATAGTTTAATTATATATATTTCTATATAGCTATATATATATGATATATTCTGTGATCATAATAGTATCTGTTCCTTGAAATGATGCATCAGTATCCTTTATTTGTTTGGTCTGTTAATTTTGCATATTTACAACCATTTCTGTACACAAGATGCCCCAAACTGCAGAGGCTGTAGTGACTTTCTGATGTAAATAATGCAAAAATGTGTATTTGAATGTCATCATACATCTCACTGAAAGTCATTTCTTAGCAATCTTTATTTCTCATATCTCCTGTTCTCTTCTGAGCAAAACTGTCAGTTACTGAGTAGTTTTCCTTAGGATTTGTGCCTTAGCTGAATGGGCAGCTACTGATAATCTGAAGTAAAGCAATTCTACTCACTCAAGCTGTTAATGAGAGGAGGGCTGCTCATTTAGAACCTTTACACCTTCCCAACAGAGATAATAAAATTACATAATAAAAATATAAGAAATTAATGCAAAGTAAAAATCATGTTTTCAGTGTTAGTCTTGGTGACTAAACCTGTGACATAACAAATCCTTGACTGCAGGAACTCATATAGACTGACTGTATGGTCACTTATTTTCCACATATCTTCATGCTGGGTTCCTGCTTGGGAGCAAAAATGGGAAAAAAATGAAAATAAATGTTATGTGCAGTGTGCCTGTAAAATTCAAACTGAAAAACCCTTAAAACTTCAGCTGAAAACATCTCATGTTTGGAAGGGTGTTGATACACTCTAGCAATATGTTTGTCTTCCAAAAAGCTGTAGGATTATAAGAAATGAAAAAAAAAAAAACCAACACCCTGACAGGAATTTAGACTACTGATAAGGATTTTGTACTGTCATGGCATCAGCAAAATGTAATGGGACCTTTGGGAATGAATTAGCATTTCTTGACAGACTTTTTTTTTTGGTGAGTTGTCTTCACAAAGCATTACCTAAATTCTAATGCCAATATCTGGATTATCTCCTGCATCCCAAACAATATGCTTACAGCAATACCTGTTTTCAGCACTGAATTCCTAATGTTCTTATGATTTCCTTAGGTTGTTCAAGTGTAAACAGAATTTTGTGATAAAAGCATTTTCACAGATGTAAACATTTTTATATGCTGGCAATGCAATTTTTACTTTCAAAAACTAGCAAATACATCTTACCATAAAGAGACTTCAAGTTTTTCCCAAAGGACATCTGATATTCCATTTTTCTTATGCCAAATTCTATTTTCTAATGGAACAAAACCCGACCCAAATGTTCTAGAGTGCCTTTGCATGCAGTATCTCTTCTGGCAGAAGAAATGGTGCACCTCCACTGTATGAGTGGGATATTACTACTCTCACTAGGACTTATGTAGTAGAAGCAATTACAGGGTTGCTTGGAACATGGGCAGGTCGTATCTTTGGGTTAAGGAAACCATCTTAATAGCATGTGCTTGTATTCCTGCAGAAGTCCAATGGCCTTATAAATAATCAGCCTCCCCTTTCCCTGAAATACTCAATGTCTGCCTGGTGAGCTGAGCTCTGTATTTGAGCCAAACTGATTTTAGTGAGTGCGTAGTAAACAGTGGGGTTGGGTTTTTCTTTTTAAATGGATATGTACTTCAGTAATGGACTGTTCTGCTGGTTCGTTATAATGAACTTAATATTTATCCTCAGCCATGCTTTGTCTACTATACCTATGATACCTATAATAGCTCCGAGAGTATTCAGGTTTAAATGTCCATTTCTTTTGTTGTTCCCATCTAGCAAGTTTAATCTATCACTTATATCTTCATTGTGCTGCCTTGAAGGTGTAGGCAATGTGTCATGTATTTAAAAGGAAATAGTCTGGTATAATCACTTCAATCACTAACTGACTCGTATGACTTTGTATACTATTGCACATCTTATTTTAAAATATTTTCTACATATTATCACCCCTTTACCATTAATAACTATTTCTAAACTACTTCAAAAATAGCTGAAGAAGACAATTACATGCAATATCTCTTTTCAATATCCCAAATAATAAAAAGAAGTTATCAGCACTTTTTAAAAAGTACTTCTGTTTCACTGTGTTTTTAATGTAATAAAACCTAGATTTTTTTTCATATC